GACTGACCATGTGGAGAGAGATGCAGAGTCTCTCTTAGTGATATTCCTTTATGTGAAAAATGTTAATAAAGAAACTGCTTACGTTAAGTTCACTGAAGATTCTGTGACTGCACGATTCTCTACAAGGTATGTAGTGAGGTTCTGATAGTTTGGGTATGCACTCTTAAAATAATAGAATATTAGCCTGAAATTATTAATCTCTTTTTTTTTGGGGGGGGCCATTAGCTATATGTTATGATGTGTAAATGTTCTTGTAGTATATGATTATGTACAAAGTAGCATGTTAATTATGAATTACAGGTATATGGCAATACTACCTTTGATTTTTAACCATCGTACCTGAAAGAACAAAGCAGTCCCCCACTATTACAAGAAACAATCTTCTCCCTATTCCATATTCCATCTGCCTTCTAGGTTGCTGGTTGTAACTTCTTCAAATTATATTTGTATATCCATAAGGTTTTGTTAAATATAAATTGTGGTGTTATATTAGATACACCACACATGGTTTTAACCCAATGACGCTGGGTGTACAAAAAAAAAAAAAAAAAAAAAAAAAAAATCGACGCTCTAGCAAACAAAGGCAGTAGGGGACATCAGCCTGAATCACTGGCTCGCCATGGCGTACAGCCGCACGCCAGCTTTCGAGCAGTTTGTTTGCACACCGATTGGCGTCACCTGGCACCAAGGGGTTAAAGTAGTGGGTTACCAGAAATATAACTCTTATAGGGATACATATTTCAAAAATATACTGTCAACTGGCCTGATTTCTTATCTCATCTCGAGTGTCATATATATCCCTTAAGTATATTATGTAACATCTGTGGAATTTCTGATAAGGCAGGATTTTCTGATAGAGTAGAATAACTCTGCTTTGATGTGATTTGTCAACAGGTACTGTCTAAAACAGAAGTAGAAAGAGTGAACAGAAAAACACAGGAGTGATGGAAAGATGACACAAAATTATATTTTGTCCCTCCATGGCTGACTGCTGATTCTTTCAGCAATTTATACAAGTGTTTTTGTCTTCCCAAACTTACTTTACAAAATTCATAATTCCTCTTCCAGTGATACACGGTTCCTTCAGCAACACCCGGGCTCAAATGAAGAATCTGTATTCGGGTGGTATTTAACTCTTAAAGATAGAGTTGCCCTTGATGAATGCAAGTTTAAGGTTAATGCAAATAATGTAGAAATCAAGCTTAAAAAACAAACCAAAAAAAAGTGGGGTTCTCCAACTACTGTTGCACCTGAGACTGGTGAGTTCCAATGTTATCCAGTATTTTTTTCTCTTTGTTATACTTTTGACATGAAACAATAAATTTTTGTTTTCATCTTGTAAAAAGACCTGTACTTTGAAACTGAAATTTATGGTCTGTACTTTTTAAAGATGTATGCAAAATTAATTCACGAATGTATGCTGAATATGTTGACTTGTTTAGAGGTAGAGCTTGATGATCTTTGGAGAGATATAACAACTATTACCTAAATTAAAGATATTTCAATTTCTCTTCTCTGCTTTTTTTTTTGCATTTCATGATATTTTTTCTTTTCCTATGAAATTTGTAGGAAGTAACAAAGTTGTCAAAAATACATGGATGGCGGCAAGCAAGTCGGAAACCCCAAGTCTTTCCAATATCCCACCTGCACCACCAACGCCACCAACCCCAACAGATAGCAAGGTATGCTGCGAGAAACACATTTCTTACTTGACCATACATGAGTGTCTGTATATATAACTCCAGGCAGCACTGTAAGTCTCAGTCCTTGAATGAGCATTGATTGAACTCTAATCTTTTCAGAAACCCATGTGCTTAGTGTCTCCAGTGACCAAAGGAATGCGCGGCAGCCCACCCACCAGTTACCCTTCCTCGTCAAATATGTGCGATGGAGGTGGTACAGTTACCCCTCGAGGAACTACTGGTCTAGATAACATAGGCAACACTTGCTTCATGAACAGTGTTCTGCAGTGCCTAGTCAACACTCAAGAACTCAGGGAATATTTCTTAGGTATTGGAAGAATTTTTTTGTGTAGTGTGTTATAGTTACCAATTATCCTTCAGGGAAATGTGTGAAGGTTTTGTCCAGCTTTTAGATTTTCATGCAAAAGAGAAGTATTGATGCTGTTATGATTTTGATTTGGAATGTTGACCACAAAGTTAGGTATGTTTAGTCACTTCTTAGGAATATAATGTCTGTATTTGTTACGTGAATAGGATTTATCATTAGATATTCTGTGCCTAGGAAAAGTAACTTCATTTCATTTATTATTACCACTATTACTGTTCTTATTATTTTTTTCTTTTACCATGTTTTATTTATTTATTTGATTAATTAATTTTTTCAGTTGTTATACTTGAAGTTAACATGCATTACATACTAGTGTTGCACTTTACACAAGGTATATGTTATTTAGCATAAAAGCTCACATTTTGATGTATCAGCATTGTTTATTTTCCCTTCTGTAATAACCTTAACGTTTAGAAAGTTCATATTTGAATTTTCAACCGCATTTTTCAGATTCAAATTTCCAGCAGGACATCAACAAAGATAATCCCTTAGGCATGGGAGGGAAATTGGCCGTGTCCTTTGCCATTCTCATGAAGCTTCTGTGGTCGGGGTCACTAAGGTCACATGCACCTACCAAGCTCAAGTCCATGATGTCAATGAAGGCCAATCAGTTTTCTGGTTTTGCCCAGCATGATGCTCAGGAGTTCATGGTTGAGCTGTTAGATGGTCTACATGAGGTAAGAATGGGAAAGAAGTGGCGAACTTTATTTTAAAGTCTTTAGTGTGTAAGTTTAATTTTATTTATTTATTTATTTATTTTTTCCCCCTTGTTATAACAAATTATTGAAATCTCTTCCAGGATTTAAATCGTATCAAGAAGAAGCCTTACATTGCCGAGCCTCCAGATCTGGATGGATGGCCAGACCACAAGGCTGCTGGTGAATCGTGGAAGCTGCATAAGATGCGTAATGACTCTATTATCGATGACCTCTTCAAAGGCCAGTTCAAGTCTACCCTTACTTGTCATCAGTGTAATAAAGTTTCGGTGAAGTTCGACGAGTTTTGCTGTCTGTCTGTCCCAATTCCGAAAGACCAGAAGGTAAGTGTCCATTCTGTGAGAAGACTTATGTTGTTGAGTTCAAATGGGTTGCCTGAGTAGATATGTTTAAATAGTATGAAATATAGATTGTGGTGAAGGTCTTCATTATATTGGTTATCAGATGACTTAGGATCCTTACAGACTATTCTATTATTACTATAAGAATTAATGTGATTACTCTCTCTGCCCCTTTTTAAAGATCATCCAAGTGATCTTTTTCTGGAAGGATCCATACCAGAAACCCAAGAAGTTCTTTATTAGAGTTTGTGCAGATGCTGGAGTAGAAGAACTCAAGAATGAATTATCAGAACTCACAGAAGTTCAGCCAAATTGTATTCAGGTAAGAATGTTTCTTGAACACAAAGCGGCTGCTTTATACTTATTATAATTTGTGTTAATTATTGTTATTATTATTATTATTATCATTAACTGAATTATTATTAACTGAATTTAAAGAATTCTGTACTTTGCTGAAAATCATACTTGTGTTATCCAAAATTAAAGTAAGTCTTTGGAAATATTTTTCAAAGCAAATAAGTATCTAATTTTTCCTTTCTTTACTTTCAGGTGTTTGAAATGTTCAAATCGAAAATCCACAAGATATTTGTCAAACAGGCTTCCCTATCATCTGTTGTTCCCAGTGATACACTCATGGCATATGAAGTCTATAATCAGCATCAGGTAAGGCTTAGTATTAGTGCATTTTCACATTTTATTCCTATTCTGATGTAAAAGTAAAGTCAAGAGGAATAACTGAATTTGTTCATAACTCAAATGTACATTTATAATGCCTGGTGTATATGTACTTTGGTCTTTAGCTCTCATTCTGTTTTCCATCTAACTTCTTGTTTTCTAATTTAATAGTTGATGTCTCATTAAATATACTTCTTCACTCTTTAAGGTTGGAGAGCCTGTGGTGGAAGTAGCAGTGGTACAGCGCATGATGATTCCCAACCCACCCACCCGCTGTGCTTACTGTTCGAGAAGTGCGGCTCCTGGGACCAAGCTACGACGCTGTACCAAGTGCTTTAGAGCTGGGTATTGTCACCAGGCCTGCCAGAAGAATCATTGGTTAAATCATAAGGTTTGTAGTTTTCCATTGTGCATTTTACGTGTCTTGGATTTTTCTTTTAAGGTTTTAAGGTCCCAATGGGGAGTTTAGTTGTAGAATGGAAATTTATTGATTGATTTGTTGTTACAGTCAGATTTTGTAAATTATTTTAAAGGTGTGATTTTACTTTTAAATCATTTTAAAGGATCTCTGATACCATAAAACCTTTTGCACATTAGAAAAAAGTGTTCGTCTCTGTATTTTTGTTTCAACTTTATAAACTTCAGTGATAATCATGATCATTGTCTGAGAAGGCAGGCTATTCACTGATACTCTCTGCTGTAGGTACACTGCAAGCTGGTACCAGAGCCAGTGGGTTGCCCCTTTATCCTGTCTCTACCGGAAAGCCATGCCACCTACTCCCGCTTAACAAGAATCATGGAAGCCTATGCTCGTTACTCGGTCGATATCTTCCAGCCTCCTGTTTCTCATGATTCATCTCACAGAGGGAGTGCCTCAAGTATAGACCTGTCAAATGAAGAAAATGATGACATGGAGGTAAAAGTTTATTGTTACATTGATCATTGTTAAGTTAATTGTTAATTGCTAATGGTTAGTGTTTTTTATTTACAGTTTAGTAATGCCTTGCTAATGGGTGGCATATACTGTACAACAGTATATACTGTTGTGAAACTCAGAGGGTGGGCAAATCATATGTTTCATGTGCTTTAGATTTTTCTTTGAGTAGTTGACTGCATACACCACCTAGCATGTGATCCAGTTTGGTGTGGGAAGCTTTCATCAGTATTGGTTAAATGTACTCTTTGTCAGTTTTGATACACTCATGGCATATGAAGTCTATAATCAACATCAGGTAAGGCTTAGTATTAGTGCATTTTCACATTTTATTCCTATTCTGATGTAAAAGTAAAGTCAAGAGGAATAACTGAATTTGTTCATAACTCAAATGTACATTTATAATGCCTGGTGTATATGTACTTTGGTCTTTAGCTCTCATTCTGTTTTCCATCTAACTTCTTGTTTTCTAATTTAATAGTTGATGTCTCATTAAATATACTTCTTCACTCTTTAAGGTTGGAGAGCCTGTGGTGGAAGTAGCAGTGGTACAGCGCATGATGATTCCCAACCCACCCACCCGCTGTGCTTACTGTTCGAGAAGTGCGGCTCCTGGGACCAAGCTACGACGCTGTACCAAGTGCTTTAGAGCTGGGTATTGTCACCAGGCCTGCCAGAAGAATCATTGGTTAAATCATAAGGTTTGTAGTTTTCCATTGTGCATTTTACGTGTCTTGGATTTTTCTTTTAAGGTTTTAAGGTCCCAATGGGGAGTTTAGTTGTAGAATGGAAATTTATTGATTGATTTGTTGTTACAGTCAGATTTTGTAAATTATTTTAAAGGTGTGATTTTACTTTTAAATCATTTTAAAGGATCTCTGATACCATAAAACCTTTTGCACATTAGAAAAAAGTGTTCGTCTCTCTATTTTTGTTTCAACTTTATAAACTTCAGTGATAATCATTATCATTGTCTGAGAAGGCAGGCTATTCACTGATACTCTCTGCTGTAGGTACACTGCAAGCTGGTACCAGAGCCAGTGGGTTGCCCCTTTATCCTGTCTCTACCGGAAAGCCATGCCACCTACTCCCGCTTAACAAGAATCATGGAAGCCTATGCTCGTTACTCGGTCGATATCTTCCAGCCTCCTGTTTCTCATGATTCATCCACAGAGGGAGTGCCTCAAGTATAGACCTGTCAAATGAAGAAAATGATGACATGGAGGTAAAAGTTTATTGTTACATTGATCATTGTTAAGTTAATTGTTAATTGCTAATGGTTAGTGTTTTTTATTTACAGTTTAGTAATGCCTTGCTAATGGGTGGCATATACTGTACAACAGTATATACTGTTGTGAAACTCAGAGGGTGGGCAAATCATATGTTTCATGTGCTTTAGATTTTTTCTTTGAGTAGCTGACTGCATACACCACCTAGCATGTGATCTAGTTTGGTGTGGGAAGCTTTCATCAGTATTGGGTTAAATGTACTCTTTGTCAGTTTATTAAATATTTTCAGCTACACCAGAGCAATATAATATTTTTAGATAAACTAAATAGATTAAGAATTTATTGAGTCAAAAGTTTTTGAAGGTAGCTCGTGGTATTTTGTGCTCTTGTACCATTCTGTTGTATTTTTTTCTTCATTGAAACAAATATTTATAACACATTGACATGTCAGGTTTTAAATGATTTAATGTAACTCAATTTTCATCACTGTTTTATTTATAGTTAATATATGATTTTGATCTAGTGCCCTGGCCAGCACTGTATGCTTACACAAAAAAAACTTATATTCTATGATATTTGCCATGCCAGGTTGAAGATGGCAGCAATGAGGAGAGAGGGGAAAACAGTGACGTGCTGATGGCCAGTGAGAGTTCTCAGGGAGATATGCAGAGTCAGTGGCCAGAAGACTGTGCTGGGGGAAGTGATGCTGGTGCTGCAGATAGTGGAGGAGGCATTGATGGGGGAGGCAGCAGTGATGGAGGAGGAGGCAGTGATGGAGGTGGAGGCAGTGGGTGTGATGAACCTCCACAGCTCTCCTCTTCTCCCAGTGTCCGGGCAGTCCAGCCAAGGGGAAGCCTTCAGTTACCCTCTGCAACTCAGCTCTTTGTTATAAGGCCAGTCAATAACCGAGCTCAGAACCTACCTGCTCCTAATGGGGAGACTTTAGAGGATAAAGGTAAGATATGAGGATGGGAGTCACAGGAGTCTTTTCATTAGGGAAAAGATTTTTGTTGTTGTCGTTCAAGAGATTTTTCTGCTTTTTCTATTAGTTGCTAATTATCAGAATTCCTCATTGGACAAAGACTTTTTTCCCCAGAATGTTAATCAAGGATTTTGAATTATAAGTAAGAGAGGCTTATCCTCTCAATATTTTAAAAATTCTACTGAATTAATTGCCTGTGGTGTTGATCTCAGTCTCTATACATATATAATGAAATGTTGGTATTTATCTCAACAGGTGATGAGCCTTTGGACCTGAGTGACAAGTATTACCTTGCCATGGATTGGAGAACCAATGAAAGGCTGCCTGTCCACTGTCTTGTTCAAAACAAAGAGGTAGGTTTTTAATTGTTTACTCCCACTTTGCTGATTGCTGTAAAAGTCATTAACATAACTTGTAATTTCTTTTCTCAAGTGCTTTGCTACTGTGCTTCCTTGACTTCCTGGTTCCTACTTCAATTATTTGATTCGTTTCTGATATACAATTTAACAGGTGGACTGTGAAGTAGAAGGTTCATACTCGGTGCAGCGGAACCAGCAGACGAGCCTGGAAGCATGCATTGATCTCTTTACACAGCCTGAAAACTTATCAGAGGGAGATTCTTGGCGCTGTCCAAGGTTAGTTCTAAGGAATTGTTGCTGATTCTCGTTGGAAAGAGGATGTCATGAAGGATATATATTTTCTTAATTTGTTTAGGTTTGTGAAAATCTGAATTATTAACCTGGACTGCCAACAGTGTATGTAAATATACCTGAGACAACATTACTATTCTGATAAGTTATATATATATTTTTTTAATAAAGTGTAAGCACTTTCTGGTGTTCAGAATATTCATTATAAGTATACTCTAATGATTTGTCAAGTTTTATTGTAATTAGTGTTTTCAGTTAATTTTAAGTAGCTAAAGAAAGGAAAAATTGAGAAATTTGGATAGGAGTGGTCAGGAATTCATTTTGTGCTTGTTTTGTTTTGATAGTTTATTGGGAACAATCATCAGTTGATCTAAAATTAAGTACCTGCTATTTACTTTAACAAATGATAAATATTTATAAAAAAAAGTTAGAAGCTAAGTTTATTTTTAAACATATAGTCTATGTCACAGAAATTGGTGTTCATAATCTTATTTATTATCTTACAAAGGCTATGACATCAGGAGTGTATTTAGTTTGTTTGTTTCCCCCCCCCTCCTCCATGAATTTTCTGTTATTCTTATTATGTTTCTGCAGATGCAAAATGCCAGTAGAAGCAACTAAACAAATGAGTATTTGGAGACTGCCTCATATTTTAATAATCCAGCTCAAGAGGTTCTCCTTCAAATATGTCCTCTATTCTGACAAGATTGACAAGTTCGTCCAGTACCCTGTAAGGTAAGTTATTAAAAGCATTAAAACTTTCCTCAGCTTTGTGACATTCAAGATGTTTTCTAATTACGTGAACCTAAATTTATCACAATATTTACAGTAGCACCTTATTTGATCAACTCAGTGGCTTACATTTTTATTCTGTTTAGAAATTTTATGTTGTTATTATTTATCAATTTTATATATACACATTTTTTCCACCCAGAGGGTTAAATGTGCAACCATACATGTCGTGTGAGCCTGAGGATGGGCCTGCAATTTATGACCTTTATGGAGTGATTAATCACATGGGTCGCCTGCTGGGGGGTCATTACACTGCCTATGCTCGCACCACAGCAAAACATGACTCCAGACAGTCTGAAGTTGGTAAGTTTTTTTTTTTTCTTTCTTTCTTTCTTCGTTGCAAGCTTTCATATTTTCTTAATCTTTAATTTATGTTGATTGATTTATTCAGTTGGGTTATCATCATTGTCACTTCCATCAGCATCATTATTTGGTAATTGGTTTATTTATTTTTCCAGACTGGAGGTTGTTTGATGACAGCAGAGTGAATTTCTGCCCAGAATCTCGAGTAGTGAATGAGCAAGCATACCTACTCTTGTACCGACGTAGAGACACACCATTCACAGTTCACAGACCTCTGCCTCCCCCAGCACCAGTCGTCCAGGAGGAAACTGTACCTGAACAAGCGGCAGAGATGGAAGAAGTAACACCCATGTCTATTTCCTCAACGTCACAGCTCTCATCCTCACAACCTTCCTCCTCAAGCCTAGAGGGCGAGGAACAATTAAGTACCACTCAGGAAGAACTTGACTAAACCAGCGAGTAGTAGCACAACATGTTTAGTGTTAAACATGTAATTGCAGAAATGTGGAAATAATGGCACTTTCCTTTTCTATACTTGTAAAGCATTTCTGGTTGTGTCAGGCACTTGGTACAGTACCACATAGCATGTCAGTATTTCTTATGCCATCCATCAGAAGAAATCATCTCCTAAAAGATCAGGTTTGGTTGTATAATTAATGTAGCGAAACATAGATTAGACAATTTTTGGATTTTATGTAATATTAATTTATTTAATGTTCTGCATAATTTATTTTTTTTAATAATTGTATAAAGAAAATGTCCTCCACTTTAAGAACTGGAAGCACAGAGAGGAAGGTGAATGGGGAGAGTTAGTTTTCATGAATTTGTGGTACATTTTATTTGCAAGCAGTGATAAGGAGTATTAGTGTCTTGTGTAAGATCCACACTGTCATAAATTATTATATGTGCTAAATCACTGACACTGTAAATATAATCTTTTATTGAAAATAAAGTGTAATTCTGCAGGTGATTAGTGTGCATTAATGACTCTAAAATTGTCAGTTTTACCTCAGGTGAAGGAATACATTGTTTGGCAAGTGGCTGCATGATTCAGCACTTTTTCTTCATAACCTCATAGTTCAACAAAAAATGCTATAATGATTTTAGATTTGAGCTCTTTAAGACGAATATTTCTATATTTAGAGAACCCTTGAATAAAATATGGAGTTCACAGAGCCAAAAATAATAGTAGCTTTAATAAGGAAAAGATGTTTCAATCTCCTTGATTCACAGAGAAAGGAATAAGGGGAACTTGCAAATGCATGTTAGTTAATTGGACTTTCATGGGTTTTACTGAATTGTCTGTAGTAAATCAAATAAGGATGCGTGTAAGAATTGCATTGGTTTTTTCCTCTATAAATAAATAATTTCTTTGTATTATCCTTCAAAAGAAAGTCTTTTTCAAACCTTATTTCTGCATTTCACCTAGCATTATACATAGAAGTTGCTCAGACATATAGGCATTTGTTCATGGACTTAAGTAAATAACTGCAGAAAACAAAAGTTAATTCTGTTGTCATTTACTTCAGCCTTCCAAGCATTCTCACTGATTTTACATTTTCTGGTAGGAGCACTTACTAACTGTAAGGTGTGGCATTGGAAGGTTTTTTGTTTATGGATGGGAGCATTTCCATAGAAAGATTGTGCGGATCACATTTTCATCAGTTGTGTATTTTTACCTGTTAACATAGTCTCCATTAGGTTATTATGTTGAATGGTGCAGTTTATAAAAAGCAAAGTAATGGTTGGACAATTAGCATTTCATGTGTAATTTTGTGGTGTAGGAAGTAAAATCAAGCCCCATTATATTGACCATAGAGAACTCAATATCTGGAGAGTTGGTAATATAACAAGTGTGATTGTTTAATTCTAAATCAAGGTTGTCAGAATCTGTGAGGCGAGCATTGTAAAAGAATATGAAAGTTATCATTCGTACAGGAACAAATTCCTTTTCTTATATTCAGAATTGTAAAATAAATGTTCTCAATTTCTAGCAGTGACAGTGCAGAGGTTAACTTAATTGTGGATTGTTGGCACTGTCCAGAACTCCATGTGGTATGGGTTACTGTGACACATTTGTGTTCACCTGATAAATGTAATGGTTTGTAATCCTTAATGTGTTGTCTATATCTTTACCTCAAAGTAGATACAAAACACTTCTTCCAGTTATTGTGCAAAATTAATTTAATTACAGTCATTCATTAAAATATATTTGGAAGGGTATTCTGAATCTCTCTTAGAGATCTTGCTAAAGAAAAACTCAAA